GATGCACCAACTACCACCCAAACCACCCGGTGCCCAAAACGTGGTGGCAAACGTGGCACCACTCAAGCCCCGTCCAGCGCGAGGTTGAACTGGTCGTTCCAACGGAACCTCAAGGCTTGGCCCCAAGCCACAGGTTTTAGTCTTTGGCTCCATTTACCAAGGGGGCCACTTGGGTACCCTTTTTTGGAGCCACAGCCATATGTTGGTATTTCTGAAGGGGGCCCGCCTCTTTCCGGGGCGGGGGGAAACCGAAAGGGCGCCCCAAAATGGGGGGGCGTTCAAATCCAACCCGTTTTGACGAGCCATACCCAACCGAAGGGTAGGTCCTTTCGCGATGGAAAGGAGAGTTTCATGGGGGTCCTTTTGACTTCAACCCAAAACCTCACACAAAACAGGGGACCCTCAAAAGAAAGCCGCCATAAAAGCCCTTCCTACCCCAGTGTTTGTTTTGTTTCTCCCCCGCATTGCGTGGGTTAACATAATTGTACGCTCTGATATGGTCACGGCCCACTTCCGTGGGTGGAATAGGACTTCTTGTCGCCAGGCAGTGTCTGGCCAACGCTGAAATATAACGAAATGATCCAAACCCAAAACTCTTTTGGTTGGGCCAAACAAGAGCCTCAACTCCACTATGGTGTTAAAAAGAATCCATCAAGTCCAGGACCTCTTGGTGAGACAAAAATTCTGAACTGGGGAAGTCAGCCGGAACAAATGATTCACCCTGGATGATCTTCTCAGAGTGAAACGGATCCTTTGGTCTGATCTACAGCCGCAAAACTGCAAAACTTAAACAGGTTGTGTTGCAACAACGCAAATGATCCTTCTTCAAATATGATCTCCAAGTAATCACTTCTGTGATTACCCTGAAAGACATTCCCAATAACTTTTCACGAAAACAGATGCTTCCCGGATGTGAAACCAATCAGGAAAATGAAGCAATCACCAATGGAAGCAGTTTGCAGAGCTTTGCTATGGCCAAAATCTCCCCTCTGAGAGCAGGGATGGCAGCAAAATGTGCCTGGTCCTCGTATTTCGTGAACGAAAGGATCTAAAATGCCGAAACCAATGGAACCCAATGGAAACTTAGACAACCCAATGAAACCCCTTGCATACTTGGGGGTCATTTTGTGGTGGTACCCGAAACAAAATGTCTGCCCCGCGTGACATGCCCTGTAAACCCAACCAAAGAACACACTTAAACGCAAAAAGCTGTCTTAAGGCACAGGTTCAACTACAGCAAAGGTGGTGTTCTTGCACCAA